CTAATTTCAACGTGAATGTAAGCATTAGAATATATACCTTAGCACATATGGCAGAATGCTTACCACAAGAAAATCAGACTTGTGCTCTCAGTTGCCTTTTAAGTATACTAAATAAGGTGCAGAGTCATCCCAAGAAGACTCAAGAAGTGATATATTTGCTGACTGTTAAGTTGATAGTGTCTTCTGCTCTAATACAACTGGGCTGTCCAGGTATAAAGAACCATTGTAAAAATTAAAGAAAGCTGAAGTTAAAAGTTGTTACCACAGCATTCCGTTTGTGTTAAGCAATTGGAAGATCAAACACAGGAACAACACTTGCTGCTATGACTCAAAAGACGTAAATTCTGTTAACAGACTGCACTAACAACACCCTGTGAATCTCTCATTATTTGAAAAGCATCATGTTTTAATTCTGAGCAGGCAGAACTTCTTGACATTTTCCTCTCAAGCATTCTTTTCTTACTCCTATTGCTTGCGCAAAAGTGTTCTTCACAGGACAAGGGAAGTTACTGGTTACGAGTAAAAATATATTTAATATGGAGGCTTTGGTCTCTCAAGAAAAGAAAACATCTCTTGCAAATCTTGTCTAAAAACTGCTCTTGAGAAGGAAGACATAAGATCAAACTTCAGTGTATCAGTGTAAAACTTCAGAACATGTATCCCGTATTCTTTTTATGGCAGCAGCACTGGCTGCTTGCGTTTTCTAAAAGTATGCAAATCAAAGAAGGAAATTATGTTAAAAAGCCAGTTCACGTAAGCAGGTACAGCTCAGAGATCAGTGCCAGAGGAATACTAAGCACACTGAGGCCCTTTCTTCTTTCCAAGTGAATGGGGTATAGAGAAGAAAGACTTATTTTCAAGTGAGAAGAAAGCTTGATCCTGTATGCCACAAGCACAAAGCATACAAAACCTACTCTACACACACAACCCCACATAATTAGAACTGTCCTTGCCTCACAAGATTTGAGAACAAGAAATCTTATAGTCATGGACACAGCAAAACTATAAATCCTAACTGAGAAGTTGTCATTTGGTTATCTTTTCTCAACCTTTAACTCTGTTACCCAAGGAACACTCTCTCATCTTTGTGCCTTGAACTGATCCACTGCGTTACATTGATTTTTTTTTCTTGTGTTAGCTGGAAAATTTTTCCCATTTTATAGACCTCAATATGAGAACAAAAAAGAGGACATTTACAAAACTAATTACTTTTTTGCAAGCAATGAAATATCAGCGATGATAATAGATCCCCAAAAGAAACGCTAGCTATGAAAGTATAATTCTTTCTCAAGAGCCATGGATGTTATAACCAGGAAGTCAGGCAAGAATAATAAAGAGGGATAATGTGCCATTGGGTCAGCATACGTTGGGTTCCACCGAGTCTTCAAGAAAAACAGCTCATGTGTAGCTCTAGGTTGGAGGCAGCTGGAACACCATTCTCTGCTTTTCCTCTGCACTCCATCCGTACAAGCATTGAATCCAAATCAAAACCAAGTTTGAACAGTTTGACTTCCTGGTTAAAACCGCTCTGTTAGAACAATGCAAAGGGTCATTTCAAAGTCAGTGACTTTTTAAAAAGTTTCCTCCATGGGAATAATACATGCAATGCTATAACTTTTAAACATTCAGAGGCAAGACCTAGTCCTTAAAAATTATTTTTAAAAACCCCACAGATGTCAAAAGAGACTAAAAATCCAAATCACTAGATCCCAAAGAAAAAGTGGTATAGAAGGACGTTTTAAACAGGCACGAGTATGTAACAGCTCATGTACTGACTGATCTTATTGCACAAGGAAAACTATTTTGAAGCCTCAGCTATTCAGTAAGTCAAAGAAAGAAGAAATTCTCAGAATTCCTGAAATCTATGCATCAGATTCACTCCTCCCCCTCCCCACCCCGCACATGCTTTACACTGTTTTTTGTTTGGCTTCTTCCATCAAGACCTAAATTGAGTACTGGGGTGGGGGGTGGGGATATCAACCTCTGTTAGAATGCAGAGCTACAATAAACAGCTGCACCTGTAACTGGACATTTAGAGGTCTAGAAAAATACACAGTAATTCCTATGCAACAAACATATGTGAATTAAGGTTTTACAAGGTACCTGTCATGGAGTTTGTTGCTCTTCCCATTTTGCAGAGGGTACTCTTCTATAACATCCTGTACAAAAGGCGGCGGCTGCCGGTGTGTTCTTGTGTATGACAACGTTCCCATGTGGCTAAACATATCACAAGACCTAATGGGAATCGTCCCCTTCTTCTTCCTGGGGAGAGTGCCATGGATAGAGATGTCTTGAAAGGAGTCCGAGCGATGCTCAGTTGGCGATGGTTTAGTGGTCAAAAGGTCCATGGAAGAAGCTAATGAGAACTGGTGGTTCACTGGGCCATTTCTTGGAAGACTTGAAAATTTTCCTGCAGCTATCATTTTTGGTTCTGGAAAAACAAAACCAAGATTGATCATAGCGCATCAATCAAAGTCCCCACTCTAATGGAAGTTAAATAGCATGACTAACAAAGGCATCTAGAACTGAACTTCTGCTTTGCTTTGAGGCAGTCAGATACCTCAAGATGTACCCGATATGGTAATCCAGTCACGTTGCTCCCAACTGCACGTCAAGCACACGTGTATATATTAACTTTTATACATGTGAAAAGTCACAACAAAACCCAACCGATCTGGACACCCATGCAAGAGCAGGCCCTGAGCAATTCTCCATTTTTATCCACAAAGCTCCTCTTTCTTGCTCCTTCTTATCCTCTGAAGACTCACACATAACTTAGAATCATTATCACAAAGTGAAGTTTTAAGAACATTTTGACAAAAAATAAAGGACGCTCTACAGCTTGGTTTGGAAGAGTACGTTTCTAAACCCAGTAGTTGGCACACTGTGAGAAAAAACTGTTTCTGAAGAGTCTTGCTCAAGTAATAAATCTAGCAGAGAACTGGTCACATATTTCTAACAGGCTGTAAACTGAAGGGCTCTACCCAAGAGATAAGGGCAGGAGCAGATTACTGAAATTCTCTTCTTCAGCATGCACAGCCCGCTGGCTCAAATCGTTGTTGACATTAGGGATTTGCATAGCTGCCAGTCTCTTGTACAATCCATTCCAGCCTGCCGTACAGTACAGGTTTTTCTGTTATTGTGGGCATAAAACTTTGTGAGACAAACACTTCAGGCACACTAACAGATTGCCGTTCTGTTCCTCAAAAAATGCTGCTTTGTGCTCACTTTACAGTGTTACACTACGGAAGACAGGCTGCCTTATCCTATCCGGTTATGTTAGCCTGCAAAAGCCACTCTACGGAACATACAGAGACCTAAAGGTCAACCAGTCCTACACTATTTAACCTAGGTGGTAGTCAACCAGGTGCCTCCTATAAAAACTGGAAAAGCCACAGAGGCAGCAGCGATCAATAGGAAATCAGAAGGCAGAAGAACTTTTGGAAATAACAGTTACGGACAGGGAGAATCTGTTCTGACCTTGGTCAAGTTTCATGCGGAAAAACAAGAGTAGCACCCAGAAGGCCCAGCAGCCTGGAAATCAGCTGCTTACAGCCGCACAAGAATTCCCTGGTTTTGGGGAATGCACAGACATTGCAAAGGAAACGGAGCTAGCTCCGTAGTCCTCCTGCTCCTTTCTCCAGCCTCAGCATCACAGGTACTATCAAAGTGCTGCTGCACTGAAGCTACTGTTACTTCTACTCAGAGATTATCATAACGGGCTTAGTTTTACAGTAGCACTAAAGCTGATCTCAAATTTATAAAAGAATTCTGCTACTTCCAGTCAGCTGCATTGCAGAGATTCACAAGCTGGATGAAGGTTTCAAGGCTTCAACAACAAATGCCTTCCCACTTCTCCCTTACTGAAGGTCCTGCAATAAATACTCGTTAATTACAGATGATAAATAATATTTAATTTTTTTTTTTTAAATCTTCAATTTTCCAAGGCTCTGTCTGAGCACAGCTACTATGTACTACAGTAGAAAAGCCTCTGGAAATAGCATCTCTGCCCAGGGAGAATCTGTTTGACTTTGGTCAGGTTTCTTGTTGAAAAGAGTAGAAAAGAGTTGAGAAGTTCCTAAGAACTGACATTTTTAGTTACACAGATCCAAATATTCAAAATCCGAAAGAAACCAAACCACAGTCTCACAAAAAAGATCTTCCATAAATTATCGTATGGGCCCTTGATGTGCAACACTAAATCACCTCCCCATTTATCGTGTGGTTTGAGGACACAGGTTTTGCTGGCTAGTATTAAAAATATCACATAATTAGTTTCAAAATAGTAATTAAAAAGAAAGGTGCTGTAAAGTCAGTTTTGCATTACAATTGTTCTAAGTAAAACAACCGGTCCAGAGATAGGAAGCTCTGAAATGCAAACGCTTACCACAAAGCTACAACCTCCTATAGCTAAAGCCAAACTGACAGAGCTTGTTTTCAGTAAATTCAGCTTTATTACTAGAGAGGAATGATAAAAATTACCTCAAACAGTAGGGAGGGGGGAAAAGCTTCTTAGAATTCAGACATTCATTTGAAAACTGAACTTTGTGTTTACTGTAGTAAGGCAACAAACACCAAGAGCCTGAAAAACTGGAGGCTAGCTTGCTCATATTGCACAAACATGTTGTTATTCTCCTTTTTGGGGCTGCTGAGATTCTGTACTTAATAGTCATAGTTTCTTATTGGTTTATTAAAAACACCTCCAAATCTCTGCATTCTGACTCTTTAAGGGCAGGTTATCCAGTCAGAGAGATTTTCCTTAGGCTTTCCTGCAAGACTACCACTATGCTGAAATGGAACGCATGACATTTCATGCAAATGGGTATCAAAACCAAGCAGGTACAAATATAGCCAACGAAAGCTTCGGTGTAGTAGTTGATACCAGACGAGTCGACGATAGGCTTACAATGACAGTAAACCGTCAACCACTTCATGTTTGAGAATCCATAAAGCAAGCTGAGAATTCCCTCTCCTAACCAAATCACAGGATAATTATTATAGCAATCCAGCAGGTTTCCAATCGTTTAGGTTGGAAAAGATCCAACAGCATGGGAATTTTCAACAAATAAACAACGATCCTCTGAAGTACAGCATTTTCCATATAACCTCCCCTCCTAAGAAGCCCTTCTTAAGGAAGAAAACCAAACCCCCTCAGTTACGTCTTAATCATTGCACCTTTTAAGTCACTCTCAGTAACGTCCCACGATTTACAACTTCGATACCTAATCTGCAAATTCACACCTGAGTTTTGTTTTGAGGAATCAAGAGTTCCAAAGTTAGTAAGAAATACCTATATTCAAGAACTTGCAAGACACTTAGCCACAATTATGCATGTACAGAAGCTTTGGTAATATTTCAAGCAATCCTCCCTCCAAAACCCCTCAAAAAAAAAAAACCCAAAACCAAAAACACAAACCACCCACCAACAAACTCAAAAACCCCAAAACAACAGGTCTGCTAACTTCTACCCATAAATTCATCTGCTTGCCTATCTGCTGGTGTACTATGCATCCTTCATAAATGTAAACCAAGAACTACAACAATTCGCTCAGTAGTAAAAGTCCTGCCAAACTATCCATACCTTTTTCTTGTATTGAATGTAAACACTGCAAGGAGGGAGCCTCTTCAGCTGAAGACTCTGGAATGTCTCAAATACTTTAGCATATGATTCAAAGACTTTGCTACAGATAGAAACCCTGAAAATTTTACTCCCTAAGAGATAGTGTGCTTTGAACATCTGCCATCGTGCAATCAACAATGGAAATAGTAGGAGTAATAGCAGAACGATAGCCCAAAAGGAATTGAAATTTAATTGTACACGTTCCCATTTGCCAAAATGCAGCATCTAACAAAACAGAGCACTTCGGAAGTCATACAAGTTTCCTCTAACTAGATGCAAACAAGACTGACTCATGCCAATATAATGTTAAAAATGCCAGGTGAATTTGTATTTATGTAGAGAGCGGCATTTCTCTTCCTTCAGTCTGTAATTTGGGAAAGTATACAGGAATGGAATTGGCAGGAGTCGGATTGTAAATTCAGAGAATTGGAGGGCATGAAGGGCTTCCAGGTAACTTCTGACATATCCTGGTTTTTTGTTATGAATGAGGTTGAGGGAATACAAACGAAGAAGTCTTTAAAATCAACATGGCATTTAGGAAAACAGTATGAGATCGGACACAGAATAAAATACGTGTCTGGTGGGCAAGACCAAACACGCACCAAGCTCTAATCTGATGGGTTGTGCATCTCTTCACATCATTGCTCAAAACAGAAGAGAACTGTATGAACAATGAAACGAATAATCGTCACTTCCCCAAAACAACATAGAAAATATCCTTCTCCTTCTGCCCTCTCGGCTTTGGGATACAAATACAAACTTTCTGATGTTCACACAGTCTGAAGAAGTGTTCTGATGGTTCACTCAACCTGATACAGGTACAAGAGTGTCCCTTCCATACCACAACATAACACAGCTAGTGCCAATGGCTGCAACCTTCGTCGTTTCAATACATTGCAGGAGGGGAGGTCAGGGAAAGGGAAGTCTCCGGTTTGGCCTCAGAGATTCATGAATAGTGTAACAGTCCAAGGCTGTATATGCTCAAGCTAATGGAAACCTCATAAAAGGAAACAGAAAAGCAATTTCAGAGTTCCGAATCAGACTCTCAAGCTACCTCAGAGTTATATCTAAACCAGTTTTGGACATTAGAAGATTCACATTTCTCTCCAAGTCTTATTGACCTGCAGCCCGGATGATTCTCCCTGCTAGATCAAACTCTCTGAAGCCTACACCTCATGTTATCACCAATGGTACAATACTTTACTCAAAAGTCTTACCATGTCTTTATCATTATATATGCTATGCAGCTAAGAGGCCTTGAGCACAGTTCAATGCATCCAGCTGAAGAACAACTGCCTTACGTTCTCAGGTCTTTACAAGATGGAGTCAACTTTTGTGAAAACCCCGGCTTACTTTTGACACAGCAAATCTCCTCATAACCTCCTCCCACTCACCTGCCCGCCCTTCCTCAAAACCAGTAACAATAAATTATGACGAGTGGGAGACATATTACTCCCTTCTCCCTGCTAAGTTACTTGGCACATTTGCATGCACTATGCAGATGAGAAATGATAAAAGCAATCAACCTTAATGGTGAAGAAAGTCAAGTTCAGGACAAAAAGCAGATCCGTTTCCTTGGATTTATTTTTTGTGGAGTAAGAGAATAAGTTAGGGAAACAGAAAAAGCATGACTGAAAGGCCACTAAAGTTAACATATCACAGGAAGAAATACAGTTAAAACTATCGCCACCATAAGCTCCAGGTAGATCACATGTTAATTTTTTGTTATACTAATGAAGAAGACTATGCTGCTTCTAGGGAGACAACCTGCATTTTCTGCTTTTTCTTAAACACGATAAACAG